CACGGCCTCCTCCGCCCGCGCTCCCGGGCTCCCTCTGCCGGCCCCCTCTCCCCACCTGCGTCCGGCCGACCCCGCACCTGGGAATCTCTAGCTGTGGTCCCCGCACTGTCACAGGGCCGTCCTAGGGGACCCGACGCTGTGCTGACAGTGCCTTTTCTCCTTGGCGATGCAGTGGATCGTTTCTTTATACTGACGATGGGAAATGCGACGGAAAACCAGTATTGTTTACATCAGCCAAAACGAATATGTGTAGTTAAGAATGAAGTTTCAAAAAGTAGGCAGTTTCTACACTTAAGGATGTAAAACAATGGTCCTAGAAATCAAAGGCCAGAGTAAATAGAAAAGTATAATTCTCTTTTTCTTTATTTCTTTCACTTTTTTTTCCTTTTCTTTTCTTGAGACAGGGTCTTACCATGTAGTTTAGGCTGATCTTGAACTCACTGTGTAGCCCAGGCTGGCCTCCAGAACTCAGGGTGATCTTCCTGCCTCAGCCTCCCGAGTGCTGTGATGACAGCGTGCTCCACCTTACCCGGCTTCATGTGTCTTTCCGAAAGCACAGTTCGTTGCTGAGGTGTCAGCCACAGTCAGTGCCTCCTGTGGGCAGCTTCCAAAACCACCGGAACTGCAGACTTTACCTAACAAGGCTGGGCTCCCCACCGCCCTCCTCCCGCGTTCTCTGAACTCCACAGCTTTTCCTCCCTGCCGGGAAGTTATTTCTCAAGTACGGTTGTTACTAATGTCTGTTTTACTAAACATACTCCCAGGATGAGAATTCGGGATCGGTTGTAAGAAGCTCATCCTGTAGCAGCATTTCCAAAGCCAGTTGTCCTGTGCCTCTCTCTCGCCCCACTCCCATGCCGTTACGGACAGCTGAGCTGGGTAGAAGCCCTGCAGGCAGGCGGGCAGGAGGCTCCGGAGAGGACACAGCTGCGGCCGGGAGCGCATCTGCGGAGGCCTGGACAGGAGCAAGGTACGGGCGAGAGGACCAGGCCTGCGTGATTTCTCAAAGCGCAAACCCCGGCTGGAAACCCAGATGGACATTGCGGGGGAGCCGGCCCTCTGGACCCCCAGTCCCTAGTCTGTTGGGAATGAAACTGAAGAACCTGCTTGTCCCACCTGGGACGGCCGGGCTCTCCCGGGAGCGCTCGCTGCAAGGGTGAAGCTCAGCCTGAGCCACTGAGTGCTTTTCCTACGCAGGCCTGTACCTTGTCTGCGGCTTCTAAAATTGTTTTTTCAAAAGTCTCAAAATTACTTTACCAGAGTTTCACTGATAAAAGAAGGCATTCCATGGGCCTTCTCTGTCCGTAATAACTGCACACACGTGTGGTCCTGAGAATGCTTATTCTTTGATACCAGGGTTTCTGCCCCGGCAGGAAGTGACCGCAACAACTCCTACACCTGGAACTGGGCGCTGCCCCTGAGTTAGGGTTGAAGAAGCCGGGTGGGGCCGCGCCGGGGCACGGAGGACTGGTGTCTGCGGGCCTCCAGGGTGAGGCCGGAGTGCAGGTGGGGACGGCGGGTGTGCCCCGAGATCATCACTATAAGAGATAGGTGAATATGCAATGAAGATTATAAAGTGCTTTGCGATTAATTAGCTATTTGTAAAACCTGATGTGAGAAAGACAGGTTGAAAGTATTAATGGAAGAAGAGGGAGAGAGTAAATTTAAATACTCCACTTGATTTAGTGGTGTTTATCACAATATTAAACTGGTCAGAGGTGGCAAACTCTGTCATTTAGTTGCTACCTAACAACAAATAAATTATCTAGCTGTTTTCCCCCTAAATTGACTGAAAAGGTTCGTTGTTTTGGCAAAAAGTAAATACAGCCAGGAAAAAAAAAAAAAAAAAAAA